CGGTGAAAATTTCATGTATCCATGGTCGTTTGTTTTAAAGTTACATCAAAAACCAAAATCGATTTTGTCGAAAAATGAGTGTGYGTAAAATTTCCCGTTTTTCCCTTAATTTTTAGTTTGTTTTTCTCGATTATTTAGAAAAGTATTAAGAGTTTTTTACTTTTGACAAAGTACCAACTAGATTCACTTTCTGATCGAACGAGGTACTGAAGTCAAAAATCGAAGCMCTTTTACTGCCCCAAAACGTGATGACAGACACACACAAAAAAAAACACACACACATCATGGTAAAATCAATACATTCATCGCTCCGCTCAGAATCTAAAATTCCATTTATATTTTTTTATACAATTTTGTATTTTAATTTAGAATTTATTATTAACATATATTTATTATTTATTATTTTATTAAAAAAAAAGTTGGAAAAATTGACTTGATACTACTATATGATGTTAACACTCATATGTTTTGGGGCAATATTATCCATTCTAAACAAAGATACTCAAATATATATTAATAAATACGCTAAATTATTAAAGACTATTGAACAAATATGCATTAAAAACCATAAAAATGACAAAATAATGCTAAAAATGCTCTTAAAATAAAAAATTATAAAATATRCAAGAAATGCAAAATAAAATTTTTAGCTTTGAAACACTCGTTACATGAAACGAATTATCTACTTAAAAAACATTTTCTATGATTAACCAAAAAATGATGCACTTTGCTTTGAAATTCGGGCCCTAATTATATGTAATAAATTTAATTGAAACAACTATTACTATAAAATTAGATATTGTATTATGTAATTTCTATGACAATACCTTTGTACATCAGTTGATTTTCGAATGCATTGCCTCGTTTGTTTGGTAACTCCTAGACCACATGATGTAGAACAAGGGGTCCACGGTGACCACGGAGACCATTCTCCCCAGTCTTTCATATCATTTATTTTCCATGTAGAATTCAAATTAAAACCAGTGACATTATCATCACCAAAAATCTATAAAACATACATCATTTTTAATTAGTTGAATTTAAAAATTATTAATATAAAATATTTTTTAAATGTTATTTAAAGTAATCGTTGACGACAGTTTTCAATCGGAAAAGATTTAAGATATATTTATTTACATATGGATTACGTTCAAATGGTTAACAAGTAAAGTGTTTTAACTAATGGCTATAATAAGTTTGAAACTTGCCTCGATAAAATAACTCGCTAACAGCATTGCTATAATTTCTTATATTTTAATTAAAAAATAAAATATGAACAAATTTCTAATATTAGTTAAGTTATAGTACCTATTAGTTAATATGGTTAGAAAATAATTTAAAAGTACTAAATTTCAGAAAATATTTCTGGCTCACAAATCTAAAAACAACGGAACTTATTACAATATGATAAATTTAATTATATAATTTTGTAACATTAATTTATGGTCATATACTATTGTTTAACATTAGATTCATAAWAATTTACAATTTTATATTTTAATATAAAATTACTTATTAAAAAAAATATATAATAATAATATTTTATTTATATTTATAAACTATTACTGCATTAGGTTATTTATTAAACCAATTAAATAAATGTATAATAAATAAATTTAAATAATCTTTAAGTTAAAAATGAATATTTTTACAAAATTAAATAACTAATATCTAATTTAAAAAAAAAAATTATTTTATTTATTATAAGTATAAGATATATGCTTGTAAAATATGAGAATTTCTAAATCGTAATGTTATATATTATAAATAGTAAATACTCACTTATACATAATATTTTTTTTCAAATATTCGTTAGTTAGTATAAACAAAATATCTAAATAGATACTGTTTTTTTTTTTTTTTTTTGTATTTATAAAAGAAAATATTATACACACTCTTAAAACCGAGTAGTGTACACGACGTTATTCTATAAGATTTATAGTACTGCAGTACACGATTTAAATACAAAAGGGAAAACAAATATCAACACCTCTTTTCTCGTYAATGTTTTGTTATCTATACCTATACGTCATTGTGTTGTATAATTTAGTCATCGTTTTACGTCTCTGCCTAATTGAAATCATTCAAAAACCAATTAAAGTATTGATCGAGCGCGTGCGGCAAGTGCGTAAACGATAAATTTACTATATTTACATTCAGATGGGTGGTTTTATTTCAATAAATATAAAATATAAATAAGACTTTTAATTTTTTTTTTCTTCATCGATATTAAAACTTTTTAACATAATTATAATAATAATAATATGCACGTACAACAAGACAATATATTGATTAGTTCCAATCAACCGAATAGGTATTACACGTACAAATCCTCTGAACACACGAGGACATAATATATATATATATATATATATATATTAAATAGCGTATATTATACGCGCTTGTACATATATGTATGTATAAACAATGTGAACATCGGGTGTGGGCGTTTATGTTTATTAATGCGCACGGACACGACAGCTCACGGTCCACCGATCTGTCCCCTAACRAACAACGTACCTCGTCGCCGATGGGCGCCTGCCTGCAACTACTCCACCAAGCGGCTGCGGCGCTCGTGCGTGCACGTCCAGTCGTCCAGACGTACAGCAAATATAATAATAATATAACACAGGTACACTCATAATAATCATAATATAATATGTAGTATGATAGTGCACATTATACAATATCATAATGTTATGCAAACATTATAATATACATATGTGATTTTTCTTTTCGTACATATATGTCTTGTCAAGGGGTCGTTCAAACCATGCAGAAAGAATACACGCGATGATATAAGATAATAATATGCAAAAGTAACTCGAGCAAACACCAGGTCATGATGGGTACATGCGTCAAACGAACAACTGCAGTTTGGACGGGTCGAGAGACCGAAAARGCAAATTAATAWGAGTGTAGCACATGTCGTATAGATATATMATATATGTATTATTATATGCGAGTTTATATGATGTCATTATATTAGGCGGATTTGGTTACGGGTCAACGATCAACGGCGCGACATCTTAGTATCTTACATGATATATACTATTAGCATTCTGAACACTTCCTGTACATGGATCTCGCAAATGATATGATGAATGAAATATTGAAAACGTATAAAACACAATCGGGATGATGCTTTTTATCGAGTACCAAAATTGGAGAACAATGGGCACAAACGCACAATGATCGAATAAAAACAATGAAATCGGTGACAAAAACCTCATGGTAGTAGGTGTGCGACTACGTATGACTATAAATATTACGATATTAAACTCCGGTTTGATAGATTTCAATATGTACCCAGGAACCTACCTATTGCCGAGTTCTTGGCGCCATCATCTATACGCGAATTAAGTGCGATTGTAATTTGTTTAGAGAGGAAATCTTAAATGCTATTTTTAAAAGATTTCCTATAACTAATAATTATAAAATTGAGTATAGGTACATTTGCATAACGACCAGTGTTCGCTTTGAACAATTTTTAATGTCAGTAATCTGTATACTAAAAAAGAYTAGTATTCTCAAAGAAAAATATAATTTAAGAAAAATTAATTTTAGAGGACGCCACGCACACGCATAAGCAGTTCGCTATGTTTTCTTACATTTCGAATACATATAAGGTACATAATAGCATTGATTATTAATAGTCTACTATTAGTATAATATTTACGTATAATCAATAATAGAAACTATCATTACTCAATTTACGTTCCATTTTTACAATAAAGTTTTGTTCTTTTAAATGTTGATATAAATTTATTTACCTTTTATCAAACTTAAAGATAATAAATTAATAACACTATCCATGGTCTCTTCTCAGATATATTTTTATTTTAAACGATTTATAATTTGTAATTTTTTTTTTAAATGTATAATATATATACCTATGTATTTTTTTTTTATCAATTGAAAGCAACAAAACTATATGGGAAAGTATGCAGAACATAAATTTATTTTATGTGACAAATACAATGAATTTATAGGTATATACCTATAATAGAATATACAAAAATTGTTAACCTTAAACTCCTCGTATGCCAATGGCCATTGACTAGACGACGAGGCTTATTTATTTAAATAAAAAAATATAAAATACACACGAATATAAATATAATATGTACCTATTGTACCTCTTAAATTGTATAGTTAAAATAAAATAGTTAATTCGTATAGATACAATAAACAGATAACAGTTTTGTTTTTATAAAGAATTGATGGTTGGTAAAATTGAAATAATTTTTTGCATAATATGATACATATACCTATGTAGATAWCAATTTTATACTGCCAATAAGTGCCATAAAAATGCAACTATCAAAGTTAAATCGGATTACGCGTTTAAAAATTTAACACTTATCAAAAAAATAATGTATTTTTTTAACATGTYGTTTTCAACAGAATGGACGTATTTGAAGAATAGACGAATTAATAAGTATATATAATATGTAAATGTTAACATCGTTTTTTTTCCAAATTTTAGACTGGTCCAAAAATCAAATAATTAAATTTGCATACATTATAAAAACGTCAATAACCACACTATGACTCGCCCTACGTGTGTAAGCAACGTATGTTTTTTTTTAATTGTATCGAAAATAGATGTGTCGCCGGTGAAGTGAAATTTGATAAATTAAAAAGAAAAAATGCTCTGTTATAAATGGAATCATAAGCGGACCTGTCAACATTGACAAACTACCAGTCATGGCTCACTGGATTGACAAAATATAATAGGGACAAAAAACAACATTGGATCCGGTCCAACCTTTTAATACGAAATTATTCCGCCCAAATAACTGAGTAATACGCTCTCGATACACGACCATCTCACCGAGTCAGATCATTTGAACTGTATTAGGTACTCTATAATAAACCGAATTCCGTTTGGCCAAGAATACCTATACCGGCTATATACCGTAAAACTTAAGATTAAACTCGTATAAATAGCTCKGTTTAGTACAAACGAGCGAACAAATAAACTCGCCTTTAACTTTTAAATCAAACAAAWCTAAAAATATATTCACATAGATGTATTTTTAGATACCTATTTGATTTATAGTAAATAGTTTTATCGGAGTGGTGAGAAAATAAGATTTGAATCAATAATTAATTTTTTATTCATCACTATATATAGGTACACAAGCTATATAAGCACGCAACTCGTAAATATGTTAGGCGGTAGATTTATTTATTACACTATTGCCTATATGAAACATATGCTTAAATACTCATTCTACCCAAGAAATGAAGTACRCAGAGTGAGTACTYAYAGGGATTTAAAATATAAGGTATTGCTGAGTTGAATTAAATACAATTATAAAAYTTTTAGATTTGTGATCTGAAAGGTAATCAACTAAATTATATAGGTATACTAGTGTAAAAAGATGTGGGAAAATTTAAAACTTCGAGATAGTTTGCAATCATTTCAAGTATATATTTCTCTATGTATATACTGCAAATATGCAAAATTATGCATATATATTCTAAAAAAAAAACCCCTAATAGCTAGTTTATATTATACTGTAAAGTATATAGACGTAAAAATCATACGTAATTATATTAGTATAAGAGTAGGAAGAATCTACAATATTAGCAACAGGTGGTTTATACGTATTTATATTTTATAAYAATATTACTACGATGTATCAAAATATGTAATATATATCTATATATGCCTGCGTGTATTGTGTATATGTATATGATGTTATCAAATCGTCAAAATGCCATATAATTACCATTATTATTCGTATTCGAAATCATTCTAAAGAGGAGAATCATAAATTGAATTTTTTCAAGCATCAATGAATAAAACCATGATCGCCTTTATTACAACGAATTAAAAATATGTTCAAAACAATTTTAAGAAACGGACGATCGCCAGCGGTGCAGACTTCTTTTTGCTAGACGTTTCCGTCTTCCGATGTGGACCGCGAGAGAGCAGKCCCGCGCTGAACTACGGTTGTCCGAATGATATCTCCGACCTCCGTGGATGCCGCCGTCGCCGCAGCAGTTTCTCCGCATTAAAACGTCATTATAACGATTGGACTTATCCGAAGCGCGCTATCRAGACAGAATCGTTATGACAACAACGAGCAGCAACCCACGTGCAAGGATCTTAATAACTGACGGTAATGAAGAAATTATTAAAAAATAAAAAATAAAACATACGCCCGCAGCGCGAAACCTGTAACCATCACGGTCCTGTAGTAACCGACCCCCGCGCCGCCGCCGCTAACCGAGCTGACGACGACCGCGACGGTTAAATTAGCTTTCTGCCGGAGCATAAATCATCTGGATGACTCAAATAAGAAACGTAAACAAATATCGTGTGGTGCGTGCGGTGTGCACACGTTTTATTTCCAATCGTATTAAATTATTATATTTTTATAGATAGGTACGTTTTTCGTCTTGTTTCCGAAACATGTCGTAATGACTTGCGCGTGAAAATATTATAATGATAATAATCATGATAAAATATTATACCCACAACATTAATTATTAATATATTCCCATCGTCCGTCATAATTTATTACTTTGCGATCGAGTGCGTACGAAGCGAAAACGCACGGATGGTTCGTGACACTTAATCGTAGCTGCAGTTCGCGTGTCCGTCGTGATTACACTACTGTTTGGACATTAATCGTTTATGAAACTAATAAAATGCGAAAAATCCGTGACAAATTGAATCGAATACGAACCAGAACACTAATATATATATATATATATATATTATACATTATACAAAAAAAAAAACAAGTAGCCGCAGTGGTATTCATTTGCATAATACACGCTATGCCGCCGACGCTACAGAGCTCATAATAATATTATACTTACATAATATTATAATATCTTTGACGGGGTTATTGTAGGCTACTGAAAATGAAGACCGATTGTTTACGAATTTGCTCGTTCAAACATAATCATGTTTAAAAAGCTGTTTGACTAGCAGGCACCTATAGGTAAACGTGTATGACTATACAATTATATTGCCTATAATATAATATATACGATGAATGTCCATTGCGATCAKCAAAATTATTTATTAATTATTATGATGGGTAATTAATCTGTATTTCACTGAAATTTTTCAACGGTTTCGGTATACCTACCACACGGCTGTGGCCAAATAAGAAAACATTTGAATGAAATATGAATTCACATCAACCACAAATAAAAGAACAAAAAAAAATACGATTCTAAGTTGACGATATACATACACGCRTTTCAGTTAAAGTCTACATAAGTAACAGTCTGAGCAAACTCTAATCTCCGCCTATGGGAGTGTGATGTTTCGAAATATCCATTGGGTTTCTTCGTTTCATGGAAATAAATATTTATTTGTGACAACAGTTCAACAAAATAAATGACGAATTTCACGATCGGCTCCACATGACACTTTTATTTCTAACGACACTATAATTTTAATAAACAGTCGTTTTTAAAGAGATCTTCAAATTAATTATACATTTAAATACGTTTGTATAGTATTTATACATTTTTTGATTTTTTTCTTTTTAATTGTTGCCAATTATTGTATATTATAGTTGTGATTCATAACTTATGAATATTTTATATTATAAGAAAATTAAATTAGAATATTATTTCTATAAATAGATTACTATTATTATCATTGACATTTTTATATAAATATATAGATAATGTCTAGTAATAACTATTTAAATTTTAAATATTGACAATAAATAATGTGTCAAACGAATTTATTAAAATAGCAGTATTAAGACATATTTAATAATATGCGTGTGTCCCTTGAATAGGTAAAAAATACCTTACTGAAAATTTTTTTATGAATAGAAGTATAAAGCTTTCTAGAATATTCAAGGTCGTTCGTCGTTATGGCGTCGTCTAAAATTTTAGTGCATTATTTACTTCAATTGCTTATTTATCTTAAGCGGGCGAAAGATACTTCAATAGTGCAATGACTTTCTAATGAGCAGTTTTAATTCCAAGAAGAAGTTATCACTGGTCTGACAATCCATTGGCTCGTGTTGTGTCTCTCTCGTAAGTAAATATTGCATAAGTATTTCTTTTCTCAATCAACATTACACACCCGGTTAGGTGGTTAATTATTTTTATAGTTATTTACTAGATTTATTATTGATGAAAACATAGTATGATACTAGCAGTAGAAAATCATAAACATGTAAGCTCAAATAAAATATCACAACATTCTAAAACGCCACCCCCCAATTTGATTGTTTTATGTAGTAAATCACGCATATGTGTGGTGTGTACATTGAACACATAGGTATTAACGTTCAGTAATATCATAAAACTGTAAAACCATAACATACAACGCATATTTTTATCGACRATACCTACCTAATATACGTATAGGTATAATTCATAAAAAGATTAAATAATAATTATTATTTGGGATGATAATTTTCAATCTTCTATCATAAGTACTTTTTTAATATCATACATTACTGTTATAATATAAAATAAACTTAAATAATATGAACAAACACATACATATGATGTAAGTATGATCTACAACTGTAATAACAATATGTACAGTTTTTTTATAACATTTAAATAAATAGTAGAATTTGAACCACATCAGATTTTTTATAAGTAAAATCAAATGAGTTAAATAAGATCTTAAATTGTAAAGGGCAAAGGCTTCTAGGAACTAAAATATCATTAATACATAAATCAATAAATGTAATTCATCTGTTTTTATGTAACCTACTAATACTTTTTCTCGTTTTACATAAATCTAAAATGTTTTAAGCGAATGTTTAGTATAATTACTTACGGCGATTAATCCTGACTGGTTTGGATGTCTTTTAGAACGAGTAAATCCTGGATTATGAGCTTGAGTCAAGATTAACGATATTAATAATAACCTGAAAAAGAATAATGTAACAATTAATAAAAGGAAATAACAAAAGCAATTCATTTTAAAATAACTAAAAAAATATATTAATATATATTACAAGCTAATATGTAGTTATAGGGTACTATCGTCATCATATATAACTAATGTAAAAAAAAAAAAACAATATTAATTCCCTACTCAATATTTTACACAAAACATAAATAAATATGTTTTCTTTAAAAAATATTTAAACATGTACCTATATAGTATATACATTATAATAATAGTGTATTATTAGTGGTCTCAATAGTCGAAGCAGAAATTATTATAATTCCAAAACCAATAATTTAAAAAAAAATTGAATTATTTCGTTGAAATAAAATATGCGTGCTCTTTACGTTTTGTAATTCTTGATAAAAAAAAACTTCTCAAGATATGCTTAATCGACAATGAAATTCATAAGCCGCAGTGCTTATTTCACGTATACGCATATTTGTATATTAGTGTCCGAGACATGCGTGAGTTTAAGACATTGAAAACTTACTGTTGGCACTTCAATTTGTCTACAACATTTACTATTTTTACACGAAATTATAATAAATTATATAATTTGTTTTGACACACTATCACAATACGTGAATGCATCTCATCAAGATATATTATATATATATATATATATATTATGAATGTAACATAAATGATAAATGTAATATCACGGGTATGTGAAAATAAAAAGTGGAAGTGGAGAATATATAAAGATCGTCAAAACGCCCACTGTTTCCGACACTATATGCCGAAAATATTACAATTGTCGATTCACACGCGAAGTAAACATTTTTGATTTGTACGATTTATATTTTATTTTGGCCACTGGCATTTCGAGAAAAAAAGATATGAAGGCGTCCGTTTTATACCGACGCCCACATACTATATTTCCCCAGGTTGCACGTACCTATCTTTTAGTTATATTTTCAACTGCTACTTGTCCAGTTATTAACAAACTAGTCCTGTCAAACATTGCATATACCTAGTCAAAACCCGAACAATATTTATTATCCAAGACATTAGTAACATTCAGATTTAAATTATATTATTTTATTTATAGGCGCAATAACATTATTTCAAAGCTAGAAAACTCATAACACTATAGATAACTTATAAATTGTAATCATAGATTTACTAATAATTCCCTATTGGTTTAAGGTAAAATGATAGATTTTTTTAATATCATTTACAATTTTTACCGTATAATGTAATAGAGTAATTATATAATAAATTAATATTAAGTAACAGAATCGTATTAAAAAATGATATTCTACGTCCGTGGAGTCCCTAGAATACTGTTGGAGCTGTACTAAGGGCTCCACGGACCAGTTTAAGAACAATACTATTGAACAGCACAACAAAGTATTTTTTAACTTTAAAAAACATTAAAATAGTTGAAATCGTATACGTTCATAATTTAATTTAAAATTTTAGTTTAAACTAGTGGTCTTTAGACTGCAGTATAAAAAAATAAGTCTCCTTATGTATCACAATTTTGTATCGGCTACAGTTTAATATTGAATGTTAATGTTACAAAAATGCATTATTAATGCATTTCATATTTTAAACGAAGTTAGTTAAATATGTATTATATTATAATACACGAGCACTTATCGGTAAAAAGAGAACAATAATCTTTCACTATAGTTTTGAGGCATATACAATATATAGTGGTAATTTATGCAAATTAAGAACTGTTTGTGTATCTATGTATAGACCAGAGTATATTTAAAAGTATAACGTATACACTCAAGTTATATAGAACTACCTATAAATGTAATATATATACATTTATATATTTCTTTTAAAAAMGAACATAACTTCTCATACTTCACCTATATATGTATGTGTTATAAATAATAATTACAATAACGTATACATGATCCGTGTTAAAAGTAATAAGCGATGTTATATAGTTTAAATAATAACTTGTTGCATTAAAATTACAAATATTATTATAACAAACGCACGAGACATATACCTATAATCTTTAGCTTATGTTTACAGAAATCAGTATACCTATGTATTACATATTGTTTTATTATACACTACTATAGGAGGTAAAAAAAATTAGACGTATTAAATTTGGTACACCCATCTATCCCGTGTGAACCATATCATTATCCGAGGTCGATAAGTGGCGTTTGGACTGCAATTTGCCTGACCATAATATATATCAGATCAAATAACAACACAGTGTCAGCCGCTATATYACGATTGGAATTTCGAGTAATATATAGGATCATCATATTATATGCATATTCATATACAGATATCTATAATATATATATATATATATAATATTACTGTTAATCAAAGTCGTGATGATAAATAATAAGTGTCTTACAACCTGTATAAAATATCTACATTATATTTGACTTAATTTCCCTGTAAAGTAATATTTGAAATAGTTAACTATACATTACTATTACACTTACTTCTAAAGTATCTATGTAGTATTACATAACTGCATATAGTGTATTCGTATTAATATATAAACACATTGTACCTATACCTACTGAAATTTAATAATAATATATATTTTTTATTTGTTACCAACAATAAGTAGTCAATAATAATAATCCAATCTTAATAAAAAGTACGAGCCTATAGTTAAATAGATTAAAAGGGCTTAATGCCCGCATAGCTGCATGTGTCGTCTCCGTCTTATAAGTACTTAACATGGCAAAAACTGTTTCGCGAGGAAAACACCAAGAAGTCTACTGCAGTTATAACTAAGAAACCAAATTTTCACCATGAAAAAAAGAGAATTTTAACTGTGTCGCAGCGTTTTTATTTTTTTTTTGATAACACCAATATATCAAAAGTTTTCGAAGTTTGGAAAATTTAAAAATATCAAATTTTTAAAAGTATTATAACTTTTTACTTAGTAATGATATCAAACAAATAAAAACGCTACGACACTGAAAATATTATCTTCTATATTGTGTTAATTTTTTATGTTTCTACTAAGATTACAGACTGAGTGGTTCGATCTCGCACTGAAGAGTTTTTGCTATATTACGCACTTCTATGATGGAGACAAATACATGCGAATATCACGTCCTCTTATAACCAATGTTCAATACTGAGTTTAACAAAACTTTATATACTGTAAATCTATCATTTTTTCATTCTGTAAGTACTAAGTTGAAACAACACTTACGATACACATTAAACGGTTAACAATATCCGGTTTATACAACACACGTTAGCGTAAGCGAATGCCACCAAATTACTCAATATGTATATAGACGAATATGGGTATCGAGTATAGAATAGACTATATTATAAACTATATACATAATATATTTTATTGTGTGCATTACATATTTATTCTGTCTAAAATTAGAATTTTGTCGTAAGCCCTTGTCTCAAGAACCCTTTGAAAGTTATCTTGAATTAAGTTTTGAATATTATGTAAATATAGATAGTGAGTGACACTAATCTCTGTATACTTATTATTTTTATATGGTCGACTATTTACTCAGAATAACTTATACTGACATATTATTATATTGAAAACAACTGTGCGAACACTCTTATTAGTTATTAGTATCTTGATATATTATTTTATAATATTACATATAATCTATACGGCTAAGAAACGAAATCTTAAATGATGTATTAGAGAAGTTGGGATGCAAATTTACAGTAAAAAAATGAGATGGTAATATGATAATTGATAAGTATTTGATAAATATTTTTCTCATTCGTTTTATTTCACATTTTAATAATCATATAAATCATCCTTTTCCATTAAATAAAACATATTCTTAATCTTATAGCAAAAAAAAAATTATGCACAATGAAACCTCTATAACTCGAATCTGTTGGGGCCAAGGCATTACTTCGAGTTATCGAAAATTTTCGATTCATCGAGGTGCCACTGTACTTTTATGCTGATTTGCATAAAAAATTGATTTTTTAATGGTGCACTAAAATGTAATGCACCAATCACAGAGCACAAAATCATGTTTAAGGGGCCATTATTAAAGGTCTACTTTTGATTCATTAAATATTTAATGCTTTAATGATCGTTTATGGAACCAGGAATCAATTTTTTTTATTTTCAGTTTTATGTCTATCATTAGACATAACTACCTAATCATATACCTAGTTGTCAAAAATAAAAATTATTTTACATACTTATAAAAAAATCCTTAAGTTTTAATTTAATTTCACAAAATAGTATCTTAAATGTTTATAATACTATTATACCTAATTTTCATTCAAAAAATTATAATTATCAATGCTTTAGTTTAAAAGGGAAACTTTTTATTTCGTTGTTTATTTATAATCATCGTACTGTAATTATTAATTAGTACTTACTAATAATATAATATTAATCTCTTAAATTTAATTATTTGGTATGGATAATTGCTTCTTTTTTAAGTATTTTATTTTAAAATAATATTGATTCAAACAAGAAAACCCTATAAGTATCTATAATAGGTATTATAGTCTATAATGTAAAACACTAAAGCTAAATGCTTATTATTATATGGTTTAAAAAATAAAGTAAACTTGATGTTATCAATTGAATGTGGTTGTATACATATATTATAAAACTATAAATTCTGTCTACGTCCTTTACATTTTTTTAAGACCTGTAAAATAATTTTCACTAAAATCCTTACGGGCAAATGTAAATATTTAAAGAAGTTCTTGAAAACTAAAAATTTTAAATGTCGTAACTTGATACAAACGTATTAAATATATTCTCTAGTACTACACTATTTTAGATTTTAAGAGGCAATGTGTATAGTAATTATATAATACTTGTTTTCTATATCCCGTATAGATCTACATGGAAACATCAATGAAAACGTGACGAGTGCCAATATTACACAACATCGATATTATACTTCGCACATCAACAATAAGCAATTATTACAACATAAAGTCTTAAAACACATGTATTTTGACATACCTATAATACAGTATAATCATAAATTCCATATAATTAAGATATTGATTTAAGATTGCAAGTAAAACACATGTCTGTAATATTATTTTATTAGAAATAAAGTGATCTTTGATCAGAAATTCAGAAAGGAGTTTTTAAAATTGAGCAATTAGAAGTGCAGTGAAAAGTTTTATTAATTATTTTATAACATATAAGCTTATCACTTATTGTTGATGGATTTTAAATATTTATGCTTAAAATTAAATTGATATTACAAGTTATACGCATATATAAAAAAATAATAATAATGTATGATAAAATTAAATTCATTATGAATGTATTACTAGTGTATCTACGGGTAGTTTTGTTTGATTAACACAACAATTTACTGCAATTAAAAAAACAGATGGATCCTCTAGTTCAACATTATAAAATTTTGAAAACTGTGGTATATAAAGTATAAACAGTAAAAATATATCCATTATACTTGTGGTTAGAAAAAATTAAATTTCGTTTACGACTATGGGTCAGAAACATGTCAACAAACACTTTTCCTGCCATGTTTACATCGAGTTAAATAGGTAATTGGCTATTATTATTATATCATACCTAATGACGGAAAAAATGGTATGAGATCAAACTGTGAACACAAGTGTTTTATTTAAACAAACAATTTCCCATTGAACTTATATCAAATTTTTTTTGTTTACGAAAATATCACTTCTGCATGGGTCCTTTATTATTATTTCTATACATTATTGTAAAAATTAAGTAATTGTATTATAACATACAATTTGTTTACGTGAAATAAAAATTATTATAATAAAAATTTATAATATGCATGAACTAGGTTTGATGAATTAGATATTTAGATGAGTATAACAACATAAGATATATTATTTTATAATTTACGTTGTCTGACGGATATTAAATTAAATCCAGAAAAATACTCAAAAAAAAAAAGATGTTATACCTAGTTGAATAAATTCTTCATAATAATAAGAATCGATTGTATACTTTAAAACTTGTAATTGCAAATTATTTTATTTCGAACAAACAAAACAAATATGCACTATACAGAAGATAACACAAGTATATATCTAGCTGATATTGCTAACATGTTCGTATTATTTTCATTTATCATTTTCCCATATTTCATTCTAACTTTAAATCATCGTATTCACTAATTCTTTAAGAAAGAATATTTTAAATATGAATTAAATAGACTAACCTTGAATCGATGTGATGAATAGGTTATATATAGACTATACGTATAGGCATTTGGAATCACATTTAACTTAATAAATAAAAAAAAAACTTAATAAATTATCACGATATTATGACACCTATATACCAGGTCTCTGGAATACCGTATCTAATCGTTTTTTGAACACAAACATTTGCAAAATAATAATTTACGATTTAACCTCAACATTATTATTGTACAACACTATAATAGTATATGTACGGGCATATCTACGGGTTAGCTAATTATTGTTTTGACATTAAAGAATACATTAAAGAACATGCACGTGGACTTAAACTAACAGTGACAAGCGTAGTCTTACGATTATTCTTAACGTTCATTCCCTCTTCGGTATAAAGCTTTTTTGCAATGATGCGTAGTTTTCCCTTGTTAAAATAATAATTCTATTATAATATATGAACCAACATATAACTCTGATGGTATTGGTGTGTCTATACTGTATATTTATATTAYTGTCCAACAATGTTTTCTACAATACAATAGAGAACAGACCGAAATGTTCCTTCGTTAGCCGTCAGACATGATTAAATCTCGTTACAAGTGTAATATGGACATTGGAATGCACTACAAAATGACTAGTAAAAGGAAAATATATTAAATAAATATTTTATTCTCACAGAAATTTATTTTTCGAGTATTTTGTTTCGTTGATTGTGATTTTCTGCTTTATAAACTATAATATTACTATATATGATGTATAAATMTCAAACGCTTGTCATTTTCGTTAAACGCAAACATACAAATTATAGAAAATTCAAAATACGAGTAGTGCTATTAGTTTACTATAAATATACAAAAGAAAATGGAAATGTGATTTTGTTTTCAAGTTAATAAATTCTGAAAGAACCTTTCTCTATCCTATGATCCCTACATCAATCCCTGCGTACAAAAATGATCATATACAAATTTATTCTGTTCTGAACAATAGAAATGTCAAATGTTATATTCAATTGGACAAAATCTGTACTCGGGTTTTCATCGAACAAACAAAAAAAGATCTAACCCTATACTAATCCGCGTTCCCTCTGACAAATCATTAATTATAATATATGCTCAAGTAGGATCATTTACTATACGTGCGTATTATAATATATTATACTATATAACATTAGATACAGTTGTCGAATATATAAAATTAAAAYAAAATGGCTTCCGGTAGGTAACACTGAAYGATGGAAATTGGTACGAGTATCTCCTCGAATATACTTAAAAGGGCACATTTCAGCAGGGATTTATTCCTTTTTCTCATTACAACACTATATATACCTACATAACTATATATACTTACAGTAAAATAAATAATAAGTGTTCGCGAGGGTATGTTTTTTACATATTGTTTCTTATTATTACACAATAAGACAAAGAACCCAACAATACACTAACGTTCTGTTTATTTAAATAATGAAAATGGGTGTGCAATAAATTCGAATTTAATTTCCACCAGCATAAACCGCTGGGCGTGTTTTGCGGAAATCCGTTTGGGTGCTAAGCAGACTTATTGTGTACATATATTTATGCCTCGCGAGTGTATGAGTGTATKTATACCTTCATAGTATGTACTATGTACATATGACGCGAAGCATTTGGGTCACTATTTACATCACCGTTACAYAAATAACCGTTTTATTTTGTTTTATTATAATTAACATACAGGACAAGGGACATCGATTAAAACGATATTGTTCAATTTTTTTACCGAATTCCAGTTGACCGTGAAATTGCGCTAGGTATATATACTTTCACGGCATGTTTCAGTCGAATTCACTGCATTAACTATAACTATATCTGACGATATAGTTTGAACATTTAACTATGGCGCAGCGCCAACAAATGTTAATATCGTGTATAAAGATACAAACATTGATGACAATAATACAACCCTTTGAGTGGTAAATAAACAGCTATTTTAAATTAGTTTATTCGATTTTTACTAATTTTGTTTTTAATAGATTTTGACCGATATATATCAATAAGTTTTAAAAAAAAATTATTATTATTTTAAAATAACCGTTATTCTTTATGTTAGTTTTWATTCGGTTATTTTCATGACCAGTATTATAATAATAATTATTAGCGAGCTATTTCGACCAAATTTGCAAAGTTTAATCATTGTAATTATGTTAATAATAATTCACCAGAAACACGCGAATAGATTTATTTCCCGTTATTCTACGACRATTTAATAACTCCACACCGTTCAGAAAAAAAATTCTTCGATGAGATTACTACGGTTATTATTAATGTCTGTTCTAAACGTTTAAACGGGAACCAAAAATAGAGTAGGTATACTTAGACATTATTTTAATCAATAGACACTGATGAAAATTAAATATTGTAAGTAACACAAAATTATTCATAACAAATTATAATGTTAATATACGACTAATGATGGTGAGCATAAAAATATTCAACTATATGATAAATACACTGATGAGTGGTGATAATATCAGCATTAAAAATACAAATTACTCAAAAGCAAAAATGATAAATAACAAAATTTACCATAAGTAACAGAAATGCTCGAATAGTTTGGTTTTTATATAATTAATTCATAAACAAATTATTATAATAAATGGGTGTTTATCTATTGAAAATGACTAGTAAATCAATTAAAATATAATAATGTCATCAGATATTAACGATACAATGCTACATTTATTAAACGTTACAACTCAAATTTAAAGATCTAAATTAAAATATAAATGGAAATATTATTAAATTAATAATAATATAGCTAAAAAATCATCTGAACCTTAAACATAAAATGATTTTGTTCATAGGTCGTATCTTAATTAATCTAGTAGAACACAAATTTTTTTATTAGTTCTRAATTTTTTGTTTAYAATAATTATAGAATATAGTTTAAAATTAAAATCTCCAATCTAAGAAAGTGATATTGACAGTCAAAATATATTTGTACCTATATTTAGTAGGCACCTAATATTAGGTAATAATGAATGAAAAAATAAAACGCTTATCTAATACGTAATCTTACTAGTCGTATCATTAATATATTCATTACCTACCTAATAAAAAAATATGAAAACTTAAAAGAATCTTTAGGAGGGTAAAAATAATAATAAAATATTAAAAGTCGAGTAAGAATATATGAATATATAGATCACTATATATCATTAATTCCATTTAAATGAAAGATWTTACATCACGAAAAATTTGCTAATTTTTTCTATATAGTATTGTACAAAAAAAAATTGTAATTTAATCCTTGAAAGGTTAAAGCTACTCCATTATAATAAAAAATATTATACTAGTATTATAATGTAAATTCAGATACTAGGATAGATTAAAAATTAAGTATGACGGTTACACATACAGGTACGCTCACTACGATAAAACTAATGAATTAGTAGAAACTAGATAGATAGACAGAAAACGGAAAAAATGGTATTTGTTTTTATTATTATAACACATTATAACACTTTAAGCAATTGAAAACCTTCAAGAATATATTACAACTTATCACTATACCTAACTCTCTAATATAGGTTATAATATGCAGTTTTTATCGTAACCTCGTATTTTATAATTTATACGTAAATAAAAAAAAAAGTTTTGTTATTGACAATAAACAATTTTCAAAATCATGTAGCCGCGATGTCAAAACAGAAAATATACAAAATGTGTTTTTTTAAATATAATATTGCATTTAGGTAATAATAATAATACGCGACTTACCAAAAGCACCCAGTGTATAACAGTAAAGCCATGGTTTCGTTTCAACGCAACTATAATAATAATAAATGTTCATTAAGAGAGGATTTCCGAAAAAAAATGCCGAAAATTAAAAAAAAAAAGAGCAGAACTGCCCATATAATAGAAATTAACGATTAAAAATGTCGTCGAAAACTACGATCGGATGAAGGCACGTGTCTATTCGCCGACTTGACGACGGTGATAAGGCCCGGCACGTGCAACGCCAAGACCAAAACTGAAACCGACCGCTCCACAAAATGTGTACATAGGCGGCCGCTCATCTTTTTTCGGCTATGTGTGAGTGTGTGTGAGTGTATCGTACACGACGTCATGTATGTATAGGTAGTGTGTGTGCGCGCCCGCGTTTGTACGTGTGCAAGTTTGTATGCGTTTCGGTCTCTCGGACACGACAAAAAAGTGACTACAATAGATATGTATACATTATAATTTAAAAGTATTTATTATTTAGTTAAGAGTCGGGAGTGCCTAATCGAAATTTGAATTTTTTGTGCCCCGTATGGATTCTTAGCTTAAAAAAAATATATATATATATGAAACGAATTCACTGCAGTCTGCAGCGGAGGACAATCTCTGTATATAATAATATACAATATATATAATAGCAGTAGGTACACCTAAGAAAAGTTGTTGAATTTGTACGATAGAAAACCAAAAACGTTGTGTTAGACCAACGTTACACTTGTTCATATAGGTTAATACGAGTACATAGTTATAATGATATATATGTACCATGTACCTATAAGTTTACCTATACCTACAATGTTGTAAAGTATCGAGTAAAAGTATTCAAATATGTATTTAAAATACTCTTTTGAAATATTCGCATTTAAAATCAAATACTAATTTTCTAATACCTACTTTAATATTTCTTTTTAGTTAATACACATTTCCTATTTTAATTTTGATCGCGTAAAATAAAAATAAAATTGAGAATATATAGGTAATAATTTATTTTTTTTACTGTGGATTAAATTCAACCTGCGGAAATCAAATACTTTGACAAATAAAACTATAAAACAATAAAATTGCAAAGTATACGTGTTTTAGCCAAATGATATGGTGTAAAATAATCCTATATAATCAGTGATGTATTCGTAATTTTTTTCTAGGGTATACGCTCAGCACATAGACGTATATTGAGGGGAGAGGGGTGGGAAGCTTAATCCTCTCCCTCTCTCAAATAAAAAATTTCTCACCAAACCTAAAATTAACTTATGGTGGGTCGTGAGGTATACCACCGCTTCTTTATATTTAAATTAATTGATCTACCCCCCTTCCCCCAAAAAAGGTTATTAGACATATTTACGCCATGCAATAGGATAAGATGGAGTTAGAACTTACTTTTTATCACATAATTTCTTTTTGTTTGCCATGTATGCGGAAAAAAAATTGATCTTAGACATTTTTTCTAACGATTATAAGTATAAGAACAATTGGTAATTCAATTAAAAAAGGTATACGTGGGTATATGCGCGTATACCTGCGTATCTCTAGTAATTTTACAGGGTAATACGCTAAATCAGTAAACTGGTGGTAGAGTATACACCGTATACCTTCCAATAGATCAGTGTATGTAATAATATCGTATTAAGTACTGTATAAAAATCGGTTCAGTTGACCTATAAGTATAAAAAAAAAGTTTAAAAGTATCTGTATCTTTATTTGAATAATTTTAAAAAGTATCTTTTACAAGACTGCCTGGTATATTACCAATAGATTATAATATAATTTAAGGTGCTACAGAGCTACAGTATATATAACTACCTACTATGGGATTTGTTAATATACTACAATTTAATTTAGAATCCAAAGCATTATTAAGACAACTATTATCGTGTACACAGTCAAAAAAAAATATATATATTTATATAAAAACACACATCATTGTAAAATCAATACATTCATCGCTTTACTAAGAATCTAAAATTAAATACCTACCTACTATTAAAACTTTCTTAAAAGTCTAATTCTTATTAAGTATCTATAAAAAAAACTTAGAACGAAACACACATAGACTGTCTATGACAGACATAATATTTCCATAATAGGTATAATGAAACCATAAAATGAATTGTGTATATAATTATTAATGTATCAGATATCTACGCGAATAAGACTGAGAAAAAAACTAGTGATTATTTGACCTCTTAATATTTTAAATTGAAATAACTATAGTTTACTGATAACTAATATAGTGCGATAACAAACTTAAGTTAATAAACTATATAGTTAACGCTCTGATTAATTTTGGTAGAATACATTATTCTATTGCCATACAGATTTTTATAACACTATAAAAGTTAGGTATATATGTATCTTATGGCTAATATTAAAACTTTTCTAAGTAAATTGAAGAGGCGAAAACTATTTATGGTAATCACCTTGGCTCTCTCTCTCTCTCTCTCTCTTAAATCTTAATCCAAAACTTACCAACGATTGACATTCCTTGTAATCTCTCCAAAATACTTGAGTGAAACACAAATGGGTAGACTCACTGAACTAATTAGTAAACTATTAAATAAAATAATAAAACGATTAGAAGTGTCATTTATAATATAGGTAGTTATATGCATATAATATAAATGACTTCATTTTTCAAGTAGCTTATGTGTCTACAATTTTCCTCGGCTCTTAACCTTCAAATATTATAAGTTATTCTAAAAACAGCTAAACC